ACTATATAGAGATGAAAATTATCTAAAAAAATTGGTTTTGTTGATAATGAAGTTATTATATTTGATGAGTCCAGTTTCTCTTTACTGTGTGCTTCTCTACTACGTCTTTATTGCAATTACCAATCATTCAAATAAAACTTTAACAATGCAGATTAATTTAATCATACTTTTAAAAACTATTAAATCCAAACGATTAAATTTAACAAAGTCTTCCAATGTAGAAACAAAACTTCAAAGGAAAAATGTGCAGAACTGGAGAAGGAATACAGTGTTTAAGTTATATACGGGCTGGGCTTGGTCCATATGTCTAAAGCCCATGATTGAGTCTGAAATATAGCTCAGTATATACAAGCGTAAAATTTAGCACAATAATTTATAATTAATGTTGTGTGTTTAGTTTGACCAAAAAATGTTATAATTAAAAGTAATTATGATTGGACCAAGATATATCCAGCATCTTGATCTTATTTTTTAAGTACATTCAACATTCTAATTTTTTTTAATGTATAATTTTATCCATGATCTTTTTTTTTTTATGCATATAGGATCCCGATATTAGTTTTTTTATTGCATCTAATAACCTAATCCTTAGGATACTAGATGCAATAAAAACAATAGTGAGATGCTAGAAGCACTGCAAAAAAAAAGATTATAGATAAAATTGTATTGCTAAAAAAAATTAAAGTATGGAGCTGACCTAAGAGATAAAATCAAAATATTGGATGCATATTTACCCTTAATAATTTAAATTTTGCTATTCGCCCCTCCAAGTTGTTTCTTTTTGGGGAAAATCATTATAAGATCCTAAGAAATAATATAACTAGAAGAAATTTCAATAACGCAACAAGCTACCAGCATAAGCCTATTATTATTTTCTGCATTACAACTTATTAATTTCTATTGCTCACTCATCGTAAGATTTTTTTAGTTATTATATTCAATATCTCCCATTTTTTTCCTGGCTCTATCCCCCTAGCTAAGTATATAAGAATTCAACTGCTATCCTGTACCTTTGAAGATAGTTACATTATGCTAGCGCACCAAAAGATTCCAAGAAAGCCGGCAGTAAGAAAAGTAATACTTACAGTGAATTAGTTAGGTTGAAATGTTTTGTCGTTTTAGCCTTAAGGTCAAGGCACGAGATTGGGTGCTGGTCCAAAAAAAAGGCACGAGATTGTGAAATCATATGAGACGAAGCTTGAAACGTAGCGTCCTTGCGATAACAGCGTTGAAGGACTGTCGATTCGGCGTCGTCCGTTTGTCGTCTAGCGCAAGAACAAGACAATTCCTCCCGTCCTATTTATAACTCATTTTCGATATGTTTTATACAAATTACAAAAAAATTAAAACTTTATTAATTTTTATTTAAAATTTAATAACCTTTTAATTTTATTCTTATTTAATATATATTATGCCCCATATAAATAAAATCAGTATAATGATAAATGAATGCTAAAATTATACATTTACATAAAAAATTTCTTTTAATACCTATAAATAAGATAAAAAAATATTTTTTTTTTCTATAGGAATAAATAGAACGAGAGGAGTGTGTCAATTTGGACTTCGTCTCTGCTCCAAAATAATTGGCCGAAACAAAATAGACCCGTTGACGACACTGATTTTTCTTTTTTTCTCGTTTGACGTGATTTGAACGCCTCTATTATTTTATTTGAGCCCTAATGTATAACGTGAGCGTGACTGATCACTGCCCCTTCATGTATTTGAAAGATACTTCCATTATTCTTAATTTATATTTTAATATATTATTAGTTCAAACTTTCTACAATAGAAAGTATAACGTGTTCAAGACGATAATATTTAAATATATTAAATTAATGTTATTATTAGTTCTTAGGATCAAAATCAAAACTTGTGTAAAAATATAAGAATAATTTGTTAAACTCATATCAAGTCATTATGAAACTGTAAGGACCAAAACTAACTACTCCCCTGGTAAGAGGGATATAACTGATCCATATCAAGATTTAGCGGGGGAAAAAAGAAATTTTTGTTGAAAATCAAATTTTCCTTCCTATTCATCCAAACATCCATCCAAAATTAAAAATATATTTTTTCCCTCAAAATCATGACTTGGACTGAAACTCAACAATACAACCTTTTTCAAAGTGTTTAGTTTAGCATCCATTTTGCTTAAAAGATAATCATTAATGTTGCGTAATTTTGTGAATGACCTTGCTCATCAATCTTATCACGAGGACACCTAAGGTTGCAGAGATTTTTTGCTATTTCTTCTTTAATACTCCATCCGTTCCTTATTATAAGAGACATTTAGTGCTTATGACATGTTCCTATATATAAGAGACACTTAAAAGTTGTCTCTACTTTTTTGTGTTGATTTCCTATTTTACCCATATTTATTGTCTCCAACTCACACTCTCTCTCTTTCCCACTTCTCTTTCTTTTAATAAATTACCATTGTTCTCTCTCATGTTCTTTCTCCTTATTAATGAGGATATTTTTGGAAAAAGAATTATACTTTTTACATATTAATTGTTCTTAACTAATTTTAACTGTTTTTTTTTTATCAACGTAATTCGGTTATTCGTCTCTTATAATAAGGAACGGAGGGAGTAATGTTTAAGCGTTTTTTTGATTCTCAATAGGGTTAATATAATTTTTATTTTTTTAAGTTTATTCTTATTTTGGTTTTGATTCATTAAGTTTTAAATAATATGGTTTTGGTCATTCAAGTTTCATTTCATTTAAAATATTGGTACCTATAATGTAATAAAACTTGAACTATTTTACCTTTTGAGGGACCAAAACCAAAATGAAGGCAAACTTGATAAACTAAATATTTTATTAACCCACCTCAATATATGAAAATGGAGACAATATAGTATTTTTCTATTATTAAAATTGAGCACTTTCATAATAGCGTTTGGGTCATTTCTTTTTATATATTAAAAAAAAACCACTTTCATGTCTACAAACAATCACGAACGATTAAGGATTCATTCGAGTGCATATGTTTATGTTCTAATCATATGTAGAAATAGTATTACTACTGCTTTAGGAGATATTCATGCTGTCGATTAATTTATTTATTCTTAATATAAGATTTTATTTGACTTTTATTTTAATCCTAAATATAAGATCCCAATTCATTTTATCTTTCGTATTTATTCATTTTTTCTTAAGATAGTCATTTTAATAAAGTAATTCTAACTAATAAACTCGATTAGTAAGGATATTTTAGGAAAGATAATATATATTTATTACAAATAACTAACTTAACTTATTTCTTTAATCTACTCAAATTAATCAAGTAGTTTTTATATTTAGAATCGGAAGTAGTATATAAAAAAAGTATATTTGATTTTATTAATGAAGAATTTTGACAAAGAATATGTATATAATGAAGAACTTTGACAAATAATATATATAAAATAAGTCGAGATCATTTATATTATGAAAAATTGGAATCCGTTGTATTGTTCACGCATTTGCATCGATTTTATATGTTTTGTCAATGTTTAGGGCATTAAATTAAGTTAGCGTGAGTCTTGAGTACCAAAGTGAGTTTGAAAAGTGAGATACATTGTATATGACTCATAATTACTAAAGCTTGCTAGAGTTTATATAGGCACGCGTACGCTGTAATAAACAACTAGAATTTTCTCCCCATATGTTAAATATTTAATTTTGAATACTCATTCAATGCCGATGACCACTACTGTGTGTGCCGGTTATTGTAATGCAGTTTAAACTATCAAAAATTTTACTGATTTAAAATTGTTATTTGTGATTTTTAATAATAAATTTACTTTTTCAAAAGAAATGTTAGTTTTAAAAATTGTTTTTATTTTAAATTCTATATCTATTAAAGTAAAAAAAATTGTTTGAGATACAGAAAGAATTCAAATTAAATTTGGATCGTCCAAAATTAATCTGGATTACGTAAATTAGGATGAACATTTCATCTTTGTAATTAGCTTGGAATGTGCGAGTGCTCCAGTTTGATTCTACTAAAAAATGTTGTATTATATTCTTGGCGAAGATTCAATCCCCCCAAATTCATTTCCCGATATCTATTTTTGAAAATCCAATTTCTCTTGCATAAAAATTGAACAATAAAATTTTTAATCTCCAATTTTTAAATAATAAAACCATTTTTAATTTTTTAATTATAATGTTATCTTTATTTTAAATTACATATTTATTAAAATAAAAATTATTTTAAAAAAATTTAAATTAAATCTGCACTGTCCAAAATTAATTTGGATAATCTATAAGATGTTTAGGTGAGTCTAAAGTGTATTTTGTCAACATCCGGTATGTGTGCTGTACAGTTTTTTCTACATTTTCTTCACATTCTCTCACTTACAACGCTCGTAAGTTTTCTCTTTTAAAAAAATAAAAATCCCCTCATCAGGGAATACAAAGAATAATACGAAATTGCACCAAATATTTAAGATCCAAAATCCATAGTCAATATTATCACACTACTTCTAATACTTAATACAAAAAAGTTAATTGACTAATTTGAGTACATTAAAGAAAGTTTATTAGATTAGTTATTTGTAATAAATATGTGTTATCTTTCCTCAAATACTCTTACTAATTATGTGTATTAGCTAAAACTACTATTTGATGACACCACTAGCATGTGCAAGTGTACTTACAAAAAAATAGATAAACATGAAAAACAAGATGAATTGAGATTTTATATTTAAAATCAAATTAAATGTCTAACTAACTCTTATACTCGTATTAAAGACAGTAGGTAGAATTAATTTCTCCGTCTAAGTCCATCGCTTCTACAAATGATTTTTCTTTGACGTTTAATTCGCGTGTAACCTAATTAACTAATCTCTCGCGCACTATTATTCATTTCGGCCCAAGTTGGACTTTTCAACCGGTCGACAATGTTTGTGGTGTGTGTGTATCATTATGCTCTATAAAACCTCATACGCCTGTTGCCTGATCCCTATAACCCGAGCTTCAGATTCAACATTGAGAGAGAGAGAGAGAGAGAGAGAGAGAGATTGGAAATACCGCAATGGGTTCTATTGCAGGAGGAGGATCAAAACCACATGCTGTGTTGACTCCATTTCCAGCTCAAGGCCACATCATCTCAGTGCTAAAACTAGCAAAGCTTCTTCATCTTCGAGGCTTTTTCATAACCTTCGTCAACACTGAGTTCAACCATAAACGCCTGCTTAGATCAAAAGGTGTCAAAATCCTTGACGCACTCCCAGATTTTCAATTTGAAACCATCCCAGATGGTCTTCCTCCCCCTGCAGATGAAAATGCCACTCAGGACATAGCCTCTCTCTGTGACTCTATCAGAAAGAACTTCTTCCTTCCCTTCCAGAACCTTCTTACTAGACTCCATCGCTCAGCCTCTAATGGCTTCATCCCCCCGGTCACTTGCTTGGTTTCTGATGGCTGCATGGTCTTCACTGTTGAAGCTGCTCAAGCTCGTCAACTCCCCATCATTCTCTATTGGCCTGCTAGTACTTATTCATATCTGGCCCTTGCTCACTTTCGAAAGCTAGCTGAAAGAGGCCTCATACCTCTTAAAGGTATTATTATACTCTTACTGTGCTATATCAGAGTAACTATTCTTCATGCCATAGTGTTTGGTTCAATGTTCTGTATGTCTCATAATTCAAGGGATATGATGATTTTTTTTTATTTCAATGTGCAGATGAGAGTTATCTGACAAATGGGTACCTGGAGAAAGAAATAGATTGTATTCCAGGCATGAGAAATATCAAGCTAAAAGATCTGCCTTCCTTTGTGAGAACAACAGACCCAAATGACTTGATCTTGGACTTTCTCAATGAAGTGATGGAAAAAGCTCACAAAGCCCATGCCATTTGTTTCAACACATTTGATGAGCTTGAAGGTGAGGCAGTGAAAGCTCTTTTCTCCATTTACCAACCTCCTCTTTACTCAATAGGCCCTCTCCCTTCTTTTTTGAACCAAACTCCACATAATAACAACCAATTGGCGTCTCTAAATTTTAGTCTTTGGAAAGAAGAGACTCAATGCATTGATTGGCTACAACACAAAGAACCTAGATCTGTGATTTACGTGAATTTTGGAAGCATCACAGTTATGTCCCCAGAACAACTGTATGAGTTTGCTTGGGGTTTAGCATATAGCAAGAAACCCTTCTTATGGATTATAAGACCTAACATTGTGAATGGTGGCTCAGTGATTCTATCTTCTGAGTTTTTGAGTGAGACTAAAGAAAGAGGCTTCATAGCAAACTGGTGTGAACAAGAAAAAGTGTTGAACCATGCATCCATTGGAGGCTTCTTGACACATTGTGGGTGGAACTCCATGACTGAGAGTATTTGTGCCGGAGTTCCTATGGCGTGTTGGCCTTTCTTTGCAGATCAACAAACGAACTGTAGATATGCATGCAAAGAGTGGGGAATAGGGATTGAGATTGACAATAACGTGAAGAGAGAAGAAGTGGAGAAGCTTGTGAATGAGTTGATGGAAGGAGAGAAGGGAAAGAAGATGAGACAAAAATGTTTAGAGTGGAAGAAAATTGCAGAAGAGAACACACAACCTGGCGGTTTTTCATTCGTCAACTTGGAGAAAGTGATCAAGGACGTGCTACTACAAGGAAGTTAATTAGAATAATCCTATTGCCACTTTGGTTATGAAGTTTTTCTGTCAGACATAATACACCTGAGTTGGTAGCAGATTTAGAACACACACACACACCAGCATATGGCCATGTTTCTGTTTCATCTTTTGATTTAGATCAACAGACAAATTTTAATTCCCATCAACAACCTTGGTTTTTATTGGTCTTCAAGTGTCATTTTCCCTAGTAAATTGGTCAAGAGGGATGGCTGACATATAGACAAAGCATCTATTTAAATAGAGAAACTGATAATGAAAGATAAAGGAATATAATAACATTATAGAGGAAGAATAAGTTTTAAAAACTAAGAAAATGGATGGAAACTCCCTAAAGTGGTTTACACAAGCACACGGACCATTTCTAAATTTGTAAAGCTTAATGGTGAAATATTGAACTTCAATTATATAAGATGTTTTTTAGTTTGTTGCAGTATGAAATATTATATTTTTCATATATACTCTATATAATTATAAAAGATATTTAAGAGTTATAGACTCTATTGAAAATTGTGCAATATGAAGAGTAGCACAAGGGAGACTAGAAAATATTATGGTACAAAATTTGATGGTACAATGTTCTTGTAAAAATTGGATAACTAATTTATAAATACTAAAAAAATTAGTTAAGTTAGTTATTATTAAAAAAAGTATATTGGTTTAATTTCTTAAACTATCATATTTAATCATATGCATTAGAATTATCCTATGGTGTATATCTCTTTAATTTATATAATCGATAGGAGTACTTTAGGAAAAAAAATTATAAATTTGGAAGCAAAATAGATTGTGATATTATATTTAGAACTAAAACAAACCTTAAATTTATCTAGTTCTTTTATTTAAGATTGAACATAGTAAAAGTTAATGTAATTAATTAAGGGAAAATTTGAAAACTACTCAAGTTTTATAACAATTTTACTTTTGCTAGCTTTTAATTATTTACTTTTTAAATACATTTGAATCAGTTGAAAATAACTCATATATATTTTGAATGGGAGGAAGTAAATTCTAAAAGTTTGTTGGTGAGGAGAACTTGATCAATTTATACACAGAAAATATTGATACTTTGTAAATTTTGTACACAGAGAACTGGTATGTTGATTTATATATAGTGGACGCGGCAATATAAGGCAGATATTGCGTTAACTATATAGAGATGAAAATTATCTAAAGAAATTGGTTTTGTTGATAATGAAGTTACTCCTCCGGTCCTAATTATAAGACCCAATTGACTTATTTGAGGAGATTAAGGAAGTAAGTTAAGTTGGTTATTTATAATAAATAAGTATTGTTATTCCTAAAATATCCTTGCTAATTAAGTATATTGGCTAAAACTATCATTATTAGAAGGATTATCTTGGAAAAAAATGCATAAATATAAGAGAGAAAATGGATTGGGTCTTATAATTAGGACCAAATAAAAAGTTAAATTGGGTCTTATAATAAAGACCGGAGGAGTATTATATTTGATGAGTCCAGTTTCTCTTTACTGTGTGCTTCTCTACTACGTCTTTATTGCAACTACCAATCATTCAAGTAAAACTTTAACAATACAGATTAATTTAATCGTACTTTTAAAAACTATTAAATCCAAACGATTAAATTTAACAAAGTCTTCCAATGTAGAAACAAAACTTCAAAGGAAAAATGTGCAGAACTGGAGAAGGAATACAATGTTAAGTTATATATGGGCTGGGCTTGGTCCATACGTCTAAAGCCCATGATTGAGTCTGAAATATAGCTCAGTATATGCAAGCGTGAAATGTAGCACAATAATTTATAATTAATGTTGTGTGTTTAGTTTGACCAAAAAATGTCATAATTATACGTAATTATGATTGGGCCATAATGTATCCAGTATCCTGATCTTATTTTTTAAGTACCTTCAACATTCTTTTTTTTTTTTCAATATATAATTTCATCCATGATCTTATTTTTTTTATGCATATGGGATCCCGATATTAGTTTTTTTATTGCATCTAATAACCTAATTCCTAGGATACTAGATGTACTAAAAACAATAGTGAGATGCTAGAAGCACTGGAAAAAAAAATATTATAAATAAAATTGTATTGCTAAAAAAAATTAAAGTATGGAGCTGACCTAAGAGATAAAATCAAAATATTGGATGCATATTTACCCTTAATAATTTAAATTTGGCTATTCACCCCTCCAAGTTGTTTCTTTTTGGGGAAAATCATTATAAGATCCTAAGAAATAAATATAATTAGAAGAAAATTTCAATACGCAACAACCTACCAGCATAAGCCTATTATTATTTTCTGCATTACAACTTATTAATTTCTATTGCTCACTCATCGTAAAAATTTTTTTAGTTATTATATTCAATATCTCCTATTTTTTTCCTGGCTCTATCCCCCTAGCTAAGTATATAAGAATTCAAGTGCTATCCTGTATCTTTGAAGATAGTTACATTATGCGTGCAGACCAAAAGATTCCAAGAAAGTCGGCAGTAAGAAAAGTAATACTTACAGTGAATTAGTTAGGTTGAAATGTTTTGTCGTTTTAGCCTTAAGGTCAAGGCACGAGATTGGGTGCTGGTCAAAAAAAAGGCCCGAGATTGTGAAATCGTACAAGGCACGAGATTGTGAAATCGTATGAGACGAAGCTTGAAACGTAGCGTCCTTGCAATAACAGCGTTGAAGGACTGTCGATTCGGCGTCGTCCGTTTATCGTCTACCGCAAGAACAAGACAATTCCACTCGTCCTATTTATAACTCATTTTCGATATGTTTCATGCGAATTTAAAAAAAAAAAATTAATTTTGTTAATTTTTATTTAAAATTCAATAATTTTTTAATTTTATCCTTATTTAATACTACCTCCAGTTCTAATTATAAGAGTCAATTGACTAATTTGAGGAGATTAAAGAAATAAGTTGAGTTAGTTATTTGTCCTAAATAGGTGTTGTCTTTCTTAAAATATCCTTACTAATCAAGTGTATTGAATAAAACTCTTATTATTAGAAGGGCTACTTTGGAAAAAATGTATAAATATGATAGAGAAAGTAGATTGGGGTCTTATATTTAGGACCAAAATAAAAGTCAAACAGGATCTTATATTAAGGACCGGAGGTAGTATACATTATACCCCATATAAATAAAATCAGTATAATGATAAATGAACGCTAAAATTAAACGTTCACATAAAAAATTTCTTTTAATATTCTGTAAATAAGATAAAAAAAAATATCTTTTTTTTATTCTATAGGAATAAATAGAACAAGAGGAGTGTGTCAATTTGGACTTCGTCTCTGCTCCAAAATAATTGGCCGAAACAAAATAGACCCGTTGACGACACTGATTTTGCTTTTTTTCTCGTTTGACGTGATTTGAACGCCTCTATTATTTTATTTGAGCCCTAATGTATAACGTGAGCGTGACTGATCACTGCCCCTTCATGTATTTGAAAGATACTTCCATTATTCTTAATTTATATTTTAATATATTATTAGTTCAAACTTTCTACAATAGAAAAATATATTAAATTAATGTTATTATTAGTTCTTAGGATCAAAATCAAAACTTGTTTAAAAATATAAGAATCATTTGTTAAACTCATATCAAGTCATTATGAAAGTGTAAGGACCAAAACTAACTACTCATCTGGTAAGAGGGATATAACTGATCCATATCAAGATTTAGCGGGGGAAAAAAGAAATTTTTGTTGAAAATCAAAATTTTCCTTCCTATTCATCCAAACATCCATCCAAAATTAAAAATATATTTTTTCCCTCAAAATCATGACTTGGACTGAAACTCAACAATACAACCTTTTTCAAAGTGTTTAGTTTAGTATCCATTTTGCTTAAAAGATAATCATTAATGTTGCGTAATTTTGTGACTGACCTTGCTCATCAAGCTTATCACGAGGACACCTAAGGTTGCACAGATTTTTTGCTATTTCTTCTTTAATAATGCTTAAGCGTTTTTTTAATTCTCAATAGGGTTGGTATAATTTTTATTTTTTTAAGTTTGTTCTTATTTTGGTTTTGATCCATTAAGTTTTAAATCATATGTTTTTGGTCCTTCAAGTTTCATTTCATTTTAAATATTGATACCTATAATCTAATAAAAACTTGAACTATTTTACCCCTTAAGGCACCAAAACTAAAATAAAAGCAAACTTGAGGGACTAAATATTTTATTAACCCTCCTCAATATATGAAAATGGAGACAATATAGTATTTTCTATTACTCCTCCAGTCCTTAATATAAGACCTAATTATTGAATTGGTTTTGGTCCTAAATATAAGACCTATTTTTCATATTTATCAATTTTCTCTAAATTACCCCTATGGATACTCCCTAAACCATAATCAAGTAGAAGGGAAAGAGGAAGTATTAAGAAAGATGATTATAGTATTTTAGGAAAAATGTGTTATATTTCTTATAATTAACTAACTTACCTAACTTCTTTAATCTAATCAAATTAGTTAAATGGATCTTATATTAAGGACAGGAGGAGTATTAAAATTGAGCACTTTGATAATAGCGTTTGGGTCATTTCTCTTTATATATTAAAAAAAACCACTTTCATGTCTCCAAACAATCACGAACGATTAAGGATTCAGTCGAGTGCATATGTTTATGTTCTAATCATATGGGCTAACAGGCATGTCTTCGATTAGAAATAGTATTACTACTGTTTTAGGAGATATTCATGCTGTCGATTAATTTATTTATTCCTAATATAAGATTTTATTTGATTTTTATTTTAGTCATAAATATAAGACCCCAATTCATTTTATCTCTCATATTTATTTATTTTTTCTTAAGATAGTCCTTTTAATAATAATAGTTCTGGTCAATAAATTTGATTAGTAAGAATATTTTAAGAAAGATAATATATATTTATTACAAATAACTAACTTAACTTATTTCTTTAATCTACCGAAATTAATCAAGTAGTTTTTATATTTAGAATCGGAAGTAGTATAAAAAAAAGTATATTTGATTTTATTAATGAAGAATTTTGACAGAGAATATATATATATATAATGAAGAACTTTGACAAATAATATATATATAATAAGTCGAGATCATTTATGTTATGAAAAATTGGAATCCGTTGTATTGTTCATGCATTTGCATCGATTTTATATGTTTTGTCAATGTTTAGGGCATTAAATTAAGTTAGCGTGAGTCTTGAGTATCACACTGAGTTTGAAAAGGGAGATACATTGTATATGACTCATAATTACTAAAGCTTGCTAGAGTTTATATAGGCACGCGTACGCTGTAATAAATAACTAGAATTTTCTCCCCATATGTTAAATATTTAATTTTGAATACTCA